CTGATGCTTTCAAGTTCCAGTTTAGAGGCAGGGCTACCCAGGGAGATGGAAATCAACCCACTTTTTATGTTTGTAAGAAATTTCCTTCCACCCAAACCTCCCCATCTTTGATTTCCCAAGAATGCACTTACCCCTGTGCACCCAGCACTGGTCTATTATTTATTACAGCTTTCCTGTAAGCAGAAAGCACTTGGTAATTGAAGATAATCCTGCTCCCACATAAAAACAAACAAACAAAAACCCAAAACAAAACAAAAAACAAACACGGACTTATCTGTCACTAAAAGGCCTCAAAGGCCTAGAAAACATAAAGAAGCATAATTTTAGTCCTAAACGTTTTGTTTTGTTTTGTTTTGTTTTCTTAATGCTTTCTAGCACGTTAGCAGAGTGAGCTCATGTCACCAGCACTTCTTTTTCTGGAAGGCTGCTTCCCCGGGTTCCTGAGTAGAAAGACAGGTCCAGGCCTTCATCTGGAATAGCATCCCAGCAAGTGAATGCTTTCACCGCTCCTCCCATTTCCCCCAACTGGGGGCAGCTTTCCTCCTCTAAGACGAAGTTGTTGAGAGCCCACTAAAAAACACAGGTGTGACCACATTCTGCTCCGGTGGTTTTCCAATGAGGAGAAAGCCAGTCGAAGCTCCCTCGCCTTGTGCCAGCAAGACAAGCCACCAAGTGCATTGTGAGCTTCCATGCAAAATGTCAAGGATCTTCAACGCTGAAAATGTGAGGAAGCCACTGTCCAAAGGGCAGTAGAGATGCCAGGGTCCTCATGACTGGCCTTAGCTTTCCCCTCTCCGCATTGTCTATTACTGACATGGATGATTGAATTGCTCCAACATGTGCCTTGGTCTCTCACGCCTCAGTGACTTTCCATATTCTGCCCTCTCTACTGGAACCACCCTCCTACCCTGACTGCCCAGGAACTGCTGAGTCACTTGCTCAGACATCTCCCAGTGACACCCAATGAACAGGGCCCCTACCCTGACTGCCCAGGAACTGCTCAGACATCTCCCAGTGACACCCAATGAACAGGGCCCTTCCCAACTTCCCCAGCAAGGCCAACTGCTCCCTGCTGCTCTCTATACATTGGAGGGAATCCCACTATTATATAAACCACAGTCAGCTAGAACCAGCTGTGACATGTGCATCTTCTGTCCAAAAAGGGAGATCTTTGAGAGCGACATCTAGACCGTTTCTCTTCTTCATCCCAGAATTAGCACAGTGCTCTTTGCAAAAGTAAGGACTCAGAAAACTTGGTCCACCTGGATGAAAAGACTATGTCGGGTCATCAGAGATGGTGAAGGGAAAGGGAAGAGGGAAGTGGGGGCAGGAAAAGAAGATGGAGAGAGTGGGTGAGACAGAAGAGGAGGGAGAGCCAGGGGGAGTACAGGTGAAATGCTTTAGGATCTTAACATCTGAATTTTTTATGGTCAAAATGTTCTTCTTGTATAACACCTATTGTTTAATTCATGCCAAAAGTCAATGAGCAAATAGGACAGTGATATTAACATTTGTATGTTTGAAAGCTATTGAGGAGGGATTTTCAATCTCAGTGGAACAATAAAGAATGAGGGGTTAAGGAAGAGGAAACAGCAAGAATGCCAGGCTTGCTAACTTGTTCCCCGACCTTCAATCTCTCATCCATCCTCCTCAAGTCTCATATTAAGCCCCTTGGGCAGACTGTCAACAGAAGGCTTCATGGAACAAAGAAGTATTGAAAAGAACTATGAAAATAAAGGGCATTTTAGCTCAGTGAAGAGCCCTCTGATTCAGAAGGGAAATGCTTCCCATAATCTTTCCCTTTGAAAAAAGAATAAAAGAAAAAGGAAAAGGAACCTAGAGTCAGTTCACCTGATGCTGAAAACAGCAATGACAGAAAGTGAAGCTATCCTATGTAATAAAAGCCTAATATGCTAAGTGTCTGGTCGTCCGTTCAACCAATCAAATGTGCTAATGTTATGTGCTAATGTTATGCTAAGGCCGCTCAACCGCTTGCTATGATGTGCACTGACCACCAGGGGGAAGATAGTCGACTGGTCGACCAGTTGCTATGATGTGCACTGACCTCCAACAGTCGGTTAGCTTGCTGCTGTGGTCCAGCTGATCGGAACTGAGCAAGATGGGCCAGACATGCCCTGGTGTCCTCCCGTGGTCCCTCCCAGGCTGGCCAACCTCCCGCATCCCTCCCTGACCCTGATCATGCACAGGTGGGGTCCCTCAGCTTGGCCTGTGCCCTCTCACAATTCGGGGCCCCTCGGGGGATATCAGAGAGCCCATTTCAGCCTGATCCTGTAGGCCAGGCCGAGGGACCCCCACCTGCACAAATTTGTGCACCGGGCCTCTAGTTGTATATATTTGATCACCATGGAATTATAGATAAAAGCCTGGGGAATCCTGACATAATTTCAAAGAAGTCTGAAAAAGGAAAGACAGGACATTCATGGATTGGCACTCTGAATCTGAGTTCTAGAGAATTCTCTCTGGAATGGGGAACTTCTAGAAAAAGGCAAAATAAGCTTCAGTGTAGTCTGTTTAGGACAACCAGTGCCAGAAAAAAAAAAAATAGAGCTCATTTGCTGGTATTTCTCTGAAGGAAAAGGACTCACGAGCATTTTGGTTGGTAAAATTCTTCAGTGTGTGAAAAGTTTAACAAAACATACCTGGTTTCAGGCTCTGTCACTGCCTTTAGTCATTGTGGCAGCCAGAGACATCATCATAATTCCCCTTAGCCCCTAGGAGAGTGGCATTGTTCCCTGTCTGTTCCCCCTTGAGACTCACTGAGGCTCCTGCCTCTCCCCTTAAACTCTCCCTCATTTTTACAGATAGAATGAAGTTGGGTCCAGAGAAGAAATGTGATTCTGCACAGTAGCTAAATTGGTTGTTAGTAGAGCCTGGCTAGAATCCAAACCTTACAACTCAATCCATTGCATGGTGTCTGGGGCTTGTTGAGAAAGGCAGCTCAGGACCCTAATACCTCCTGGAGAAGCTTCATGGATTACCTATCCTGCCCCACGTCCTGGACAAGGCAAGGAAACTCCCAGCAATCTCCTTACTTAAGAGATGAACATCTGTGGGTCTGTTGATCAAGGGTGAGAGAGATCAAAATTTTATTTCTGATGTTCAAAAGCCACTTAACATTTTCCAGAAAAAAAGTAGAGATAAAGTACAATATGATGTCCAAAATAAACTATAGTTTTTAAGCATTAAAGTATGTATTATTCAGTGTCGGCTTCATCTAACCAGTGACTCGCTGCATCAATTTAACCCTAAAGTCTAAATCAACTTTGGATTAGCCTCGGATGAATGGAGCTTTGTTCAATTGTGACTCCTGGTTAGAACAGCCGCTGTGGGTTCCTGAAGTGAATCCTGCCATACCTAGCAGAATAACACACTGATGGAGATGTTCCGCATGAGGCTGCACTGCTGTCATTTTGCTAAGTTTGAGAAGTTCTAGAAAATGGAGAAGGCTTGTGGAGGGGGAAGCATCATACTCACAGAGGGAATTTTTAAAGAGTAAGTTTGGTTCTGCAATAGAGAAGTATATTGGGGACAAAGGACTGCAGCGACAAAATCGGGAATTTGCCCCACTTCAAAGAGATGGGTCTCATTATAGAAAGATACACCCAATGCCCAAGGCACACAGGGCAGGAGACTAAAGAGTGGGATTTCCTGAAGGTTCACAGAGTGGTAAACAAAACCCACTGGGGGAAGAGCCCTGAGAACCATGGAGGAGAACTGAGGAGGGGACCCTGCCCTGAGGTAGCCACCACTTTTCCCGGGGGCACTGGCCGAACCGGGAGAGTCAGAGGCCGACAATGCCAAGGGCTTGATGAACTGATTCGGCCAAGGTGTTGTCTGAGGTGACAGAAGCAGGAACGTACAGAGGGCTGGGCACCAACCCGCCCTTCTAACCTTAGGCTGTGTCACTTCTTCTCATTAGCCTTCCACGTCCACTGGACGCTCTGTTCCTCATGCAAGCATGTCTTTCGGGGTCTCATCAGTAACTGTGCGTTCATTTTTCATAACAACTGCGCACAGCACCTTCTGCCCTGTGCCTTCCTCTCTTAATGGACTGTGAGCGCCTTGAAAGTGGGTGGGCGTTCCATCTCCTTCATGTCTGTGCAGCCAAGGCTTAGCATACATGCCACTAAATGTTTGCCCAGTGGAAACAAGAAATGAAGAAAGGATGAAAAATAAAAAATCTGTCCAAAAAGAGCATGAAGAGTCAAAATAGAGAAATCAAACAGAGGTTGGAAACGGAAACAAAATAGGAAAATAGAAGATTGGTATCCAAGAGATGAAATAGCACAGAGATAAGTGGAGGATGAGAAGAAGAAGCGGATGAAGACTCACCGAGAAGAGAGTTCCATTGTGTTCCTTGGGGATAGGTGGCATGTGTGAGGAGCTACCAGGGGTTATTTTTTTAATCCATCAGTAAAATGAGAGGGTTGGGTTAGTCAGTGGTTCTCAACCTTCTGGCCCTTTAAATACAGTTCCTCGTGTTGTGACCCAACCATAAAATTATTTTCGTTGCTACTTCATAACTGTAATGTTGCTACTGTTATGAATCGTAATGTAAATATCTGATATGCAGGATGGTCTTAGGCGACCCCTGTGAAAGGGTCTTTCGACCCCCAAAGGGGTCGCAACCCACAGGTTGAGAACCGCTGAGCTACATGAAGAGCAAATACCCAACCAGGCTGATGGAAGCTAACCCTTTAGGCATTCTCAAAGTAGGAGAGATCTTGTTCAATGCTCTTCCGAAACATCTAGGTCTACATTGGTGAGGACTTGTTTAATTGGGTCCATTCACTAATTTTTTAACTTCCAGGAAACCCTGTGGACATATAAAATTGGCCATAGAATCACAAAGCTGGATTAAGATAACAGTCCCTTGAGTTCGGGGTTAAATCTTAAGTGCACTGTTCATGAGGAGTATATATCCTCAAGCAATGTAAGTTTCCTGGGCCTCAGTTACTTTATCTGTAAAATGGGTAGAATGGCGTCTACCTCGTAGTATCTACTGAAGAGGGTTGTTATGAGGATTCAATGAAATAATATCCATAAAGCACTTAGTAGCTTACCTGGCAAAGGTCAGGTGAGGCGTCACACTTTATCTGGCTTATACTAAAAAGCACTTAATGGGGGTGCAGGAGGCTCCTAGCTCTGTACTATGGGCCGTGCTTTTCTTTCGGGGCACAAACCAGCCCCCCACCCTTGTGGAAAGGCAGTGAGACTCCTGGGAAGACTGTGACACCTGAACAAGAAAAGAAATAGGAAGTACGTACTGATTTGAATCATCCTCCATCACCATACATTTGGGCCCTTTACCTTTTACTGCCCCACACAATGCAATATGCAGGTCATAGAAATGTATACTTGAAACCTATGTGATCTTATTAACTAATGTCACCCCAATGAATGTAACTTAAAAAATAAAATAAGAGCCGAAACCGGTTTGGCTCAGTGGATAGAGCATCGGCCTGCGGACTGAGAGGTCCCAGGTTCGATTCCGGTCAAGGGCATGTACCTGGGTTGCGGGCACATCCCCAGTGGGGAGTGTGCAGGAGGCAGCTGATCGAGGTTTCTCTCTCATCGATGTTTCTAACTCTCTCTATCTCTCTCCCTTCCTCTCTGTGAAAAATCAAAAATAAATAAATAAATAAATAAAATAAAATAAATTAAGAGCCCTGGCCAGGGTTTCTCAGTGGTTAGAATGCCGGCCCAAGCACCTAAAGGTTGTGGGTTTGATTCCTGGTTAAGGACACATACCTGGGTTGCAGGTTCGATCCCCAGACACAATTGATGTTTCTCTCTCTTTCTCTCTCTCTCCCCTTTCCTCCCTCCCTTCCACTCTTTCTAAAAATAAATGGAGGGTAGAAGGGAATCCTCCAATGAGATTAACAAAACAAAACAAAAAAAGAAAGAAAATAAGAAAGTACTGATTTGATATAAAATGAAAGGCTCTTATGTATTCATCTACGTTTGTTGTTTTTCTTTCTCCTTGTGCATTTGTTACATTGCTTCCTAAAACTAATTACCTAATTACAGAGGGTGAAAGCATTTAAAGGATTAAAGTGCGTTCCCTCACATGTAATGTGGCGGAAGAGATGTTTATTAATTGCTCTACTGAAAAATGCTCCAACCCCTTTCACAGCCGCTGAGTCATTCATTAATCTGCCCCCTCCACCCATGTGTTTAACCAGCTTTAATCCCCCCACCCCCAAGGTACCACTAAATACTTACTGTCGTTTATTCTAAGCCCTTTAATTAATCACATTAGCGGTCATGTGTTGACCCTCTTCTCTCCCGCATGCCATTCCTGCAATTTCCTGGGGAAAGAACCAACAAGAACACACGTTTCTAGCAATGGCTGAGCGGCACTTCGTCAGCAATTATTCCTTTAAAATTGGAGTCACCAACACTTCAGACAGGAGAGGTGAAAATGTGGCTATTTTTATTGTGACATACAGATGTGGTTGACATTTGAATTCTGCTCTGTGTAGAGGAGAACCAGAGGTAAACACATGGAAGAACCTTCTGCTCAGAACCGTGGGCTCTGCCAATCAGAGATCCATGTAGACTATTTAGGAAGGAATTAAGGGAAAGAAGTTGGGAAGGAGCAAGGGTCCCACCAGAGGAAATGCATAGATGGGGTTCAGCAATTGAAGGGACAGGATCTGGGCAGTAGGTCCAGCAGGGGACAGGACTTGGAGAGGAGCCAGGGGCAGAAAGCAGAACAAGAGTAGCACAGAGGGCAGGCAGATGTGGGAGACAGCCATCTGTGGACTTTGCAAGGAGCTAGGAAGGTCACCTCGCCTGCCACTGAGCTCCCGGTAACCTCGTCTACGTCTGGCTGTGAATCCAGACACATTCACTGAATTTTCTGGAATGAAGAGTTAGCATATACACCTAAGGTTTTAAGTAACTCCCATGATGTAGTTAGCATGTTGACTCAAATAAATACGAACTTTAAAGAAAGCATCCCCTATATTATCATTGTGTTTTAAAGCTAAATAAAACATTTAAAGAGAAAATTATGTTAAAACAAAATGCTACCCCACAGAAGAGAGAAATCCACAACCAATTACTAAAGCTACATAGCATATTTCAGTGTTTGGGGTTAGGCTAAAATAGCATTACTTTTTTTATTCTAACAACAAGGAAGTTGGCTTACTGTGAAATTCCAGGAGGTCCTCCATAAAGCAAGGAGTCATGGTGTAGTGAGCAGGTAAACACACCTTTGCCCACACATGGTAATACTGCCCTTGTAGGTCAGCCTAAGCCACTGGCCCTTCCCTTTGTATTTCTAGGGGTGGGGTGGGGGGAAGGAATCACTCTGCTTAAATTGCAAAAACTAAATTTGAAATGTCCTCCCCACTCTGCTTTGTCAATTACCATCACACCTGCCCTTCAGAAGCCAGCTTAGAAACCCCCAGCTAGGACCTGCTGATAACACTTTTTTATGACAATGACAACTACTACCATTTCTGGGGATGTGCCCAAGTGCCTCCAAAACACACCTCCAGGCCTACAGATAAGAAAATGGGGGGCTGGACATTCTACCATATTAAGGTGCTGATCTGTCTGCACGTCCATTATTCATGGCACATTTCTCACCCTCAGAAGGGCAGAATCCCTTCTCATTTCATCTTTGGTTTTATACCCAGTAGTGTTGGCCACATGGCAAGGACCTAATAATGTCTGTTAAAGAGAAAGTGCAGGGGAGAAAGAGAAAAGAGAGAGAGAGAGAAAGAGAGAGAGAGAGGGAGAGAGAGAGAGAGAGAGGAAGGAGAGAAAGAAGGAAGGAGAGAAAGAAAAGGAATAGGAGTCGATAGAAACACATTTTCCATGGACAGGACCCAGGGATAGAACTGCAACTCTTCCCAAGCACAGCCAGGTGCGAAGGCACCTCTTCGCCGGGAACCACGGAAGCCCATGGGGTCTGACTGGGAGATGAGGGTGGCGCTCCTGACTTGCCCCAGGCCGCAGGACCACCGCCCTGGGAAGAACACTTACCAAATGCTTCCTTGTTGATGGAGCTTTACCTGCTTCGCATGCACCAAGGAATAGATTCACACTTGAAAACTGCAATGAACATGGCACAGTGAGGTGCATAAAACAGTGAATGTTTAATGAATAATCAGAAAGTGATCGGCCACATAAATGCCTCCAAGTTTAAATAAAGAAGAAATAACCCTGACTGGGTGGCTCCATTAGTTGGAGCATTGTCCCATACACCAAAACGCTCCAAGTTCAATTATTGGTCAGGATACATGCCCAGGGTGTGGGTTTAAGCCCCTTTTGGGATTCATATGGAAGGCAACCGGTCTCTCTCTCTCTCTCTCTCTCTCTCTCTCTCTCTCTCACTCTCTCTCTTTTTCTCTCTCTCCCCCCCTTCCTCTCTTTCTCAAAAATAAAAAGAATAACATGGAAATAATATTTTCTGAACCAGAACCAGAGGGAAGGGTTCCTTGCCTCCCTCTCACCCAGCAGAAACCACTGTCCTGTTATCACAGAAATAATGTTCTTGCTTTGCTTTCCCTTTCCTCTTCTGCGCCTCTGCATTCTTGCCTAATTATCCACGCCCCCTAACTGGTAGGTATGCGCTGTCCATCCCTGCCTCAGGGACAGCGAGTCTGCAGTACGGAGCTCAGGGGCCATGGTGCCCACAGGGTACAGGAGGCAGAGCAGCCTTCTGGCGGCAGGGGAGGGGGTGAGCTTTGCAGCTCATATGGCCTGACTCCGATCTTTGCCCAGAGCTCTGTGACTCACAGCTGCCAAAGCACAGCGGGCTCCTGCTTGCCCCTGGCAGCAGCCTGTGTTCCCATCAAGGCCACTCAACTCAGCACAAGGCTACCCAGGCGCCTCCCTGGAGCTTAAAGCACCAGTCCTGGAGGGGCCCTGACGCTGTTTCATATGTGAACTGACCCTTCACTTAAAAAACCTTCTTATGTCACCAGGACAGACAGAATCCAGAAATCACCCTCTCAAACTCCTAAAATTGGAAAGAGCAAGAAACCTGAGCTCAGAGAGGGAAGTGACTCGTTCAAGGTCACACGCTGTGATAACGCAGGGCCCTAATAAGGACAGAGAAGTAAGACTCCTTTCATCCTGTTAAGCGCCCAGCAGCGCTGAGGCCCGATGTTTCACTTTCCGTTCTGGCTGGCCAACCCCCTTGGTTCCTGCTCTGTTTTGATGAGGTTCTGGGAAGCACGCCAGCTAACTCGAGGGATTCAGCTAAAGCCAACAGGAAGACTTTCACTTTTCCCCCCTAAGCCCAACTTTGAGGCCAGAGTCGAGTGATCCTGGCAAGGGTAGGGGGTCACTGTCCCCATAGCCCCATGGATGACCAGAGGCCATGATAACTAACTTACACTCACTGAAGCCTTTGTACAGGGCTCTACAGCTCACCACATGCTCTCACATAGGCGATCTCACGTGACCCTCATAAGACTTCCCTGGCAAGAGGCAAGAGACGAGGCTGGTCATTTTAGTCCTGATTTTAAAGGAAGAGACGGAGCATGTGTCTGAGGTCATCAGACTAGTGGAGCCGAGGTGACCCACTATTCCATCGCCAGACCTGGTGGCAGGAGAGAAGAGAGCCTGGGTGTCAGTGGCCTGTGCTTCATCCTCACTCCATGATCACATGATACTGACAAATATTACAAACAGCTCCAATGATGACCTCTGTATCTCAATCATCTCTCTATCATCTTTATAGGCCCCCAACACTGAAGGATCTTGGTGGGGGGTGTAATTTGATTTAAATATAATTTTACCTATAAAGAATGCTTTGCATCATAAAAATCAGTCAAGTATGGCATTTTTCTGAGATAATTCAGGCTGTCTTTGTCTTCTACTAGGGTATCTCCATAGCTTTGTGTCAGTAGCATATTTGAGCCACAAGTAACTACAAATAAACTATTTCTCTCCTTTTGTGGATGAAGAAACCGAGGCCAAGACAAAGGACAAGACAACCTTCCCCAGTTGACGTAAGTCTCTGGGAGAGTGGGGACAAACACCCAAATCTCCCGAGCTCCAAGTCCATGTCCCTTCCACCCCACCCACCTGTCCCAACCCCCCTGTCTGCCATTGAAATGTCTCCTACCTATGCATTCTCACACAATTCAGACCAAGTATTTTGTCAGGACCTATCCTAACTGTGGATGTGTCTTGTTTATTGTAGCATCATTTCACTAAGCCCCCATCTCCCTCAAAAACCTTTCACCTGACACTCCCCCTCTCTGAGCCTGAGGTCCTCACCTGGAAAACACAAATAAGCCACATGCCTCCCCTCACACTGTGGCGACCTCTAAACTGAAATGCAAATGGGAGAGGTTATTATCAGTATTTAGCTCTGGATTTGCATTCCATGCGATTGTGCCTCAGGTTACCAACCGGTGAAGGGGAGTGGGCGCTGTCTAGGATCTAGCCCAGAGTGATGCTAGGGAGACGTGTGTAGAGGTCAACCTCTCCTGGGCCCTTCCCAATGAAATGCTTTACAATTATTAACCTCCTCAGCAATGAATCATTAGCATCTCACTGATCTGCATGAATCATTTTATTTATTCACCTGCATCAATGTCGCAGTTACTGTGTGCCCAGCACCATGAGGAGAGGCAGAGCATCGAAGCCACAGCAGAGCCAGTCCCTCCCTTCAAGGAGCAGACAGTCCCGAGAGAAAACGACACAGACCTACAGACAGGCAGCCTGGCTCTAAGAAGGTGCATGCAAGCATTTCAGAGAGGACCACACGGTAAGGCCTTCTTCGTAGATTAGTCCATTAGGAAGGAGTTCCTACTGCTTTGAGACAAAACAAAATAAAAGAGCCAGTAATAATTAGAATTAGAATCTTCCTCCGGGACCCTCTCAAAATCAGCACAAGAGAATCCTGGCCCAGCGGACAGGTCCCTTTCTGAAAAGCTCCCCCACTTGACCGGCCACAATCAACGGCCCCTGCTCTGCATCCCAGGCTCTGTCTGTACTGGCTCTGGTCCTCCTACTCCTTCTCGTGATCTCACAGTGGTTTGTAAATCTCTCTCTGCTCCCTTCCTGGTCCAGAAAGACACTGACTGTGCCCTGCTCCTGCCTCCCTCCCTCCTTTTCACTTCGCCCACTTTAAAGCCACTGCATAGAATGGAACCTACAGATATTTATGGATACAGGCTGACCAGAATGGAGTCGCCTCCTGACAAAGGGCAGGCTTACCGGTTTTCACAATCTGGTTCCACTCTCTCCATGCTGCTCTAATTCTTCTGTTAGGGGCCCATTTAAGACAGGTCACCTAAGTGGATGAGGTGCAAACGGGTTTTACTCCATCCTTTAGAGCTGCTGGGGACCTGTGGAGAGGCCCAGACTGTATTTTAAAAGCAATCATCATCACTCCAAACAGACACTATAAAACACACACACACACACACACACACACACACACACACACGCACAGCCTGGCCAAGATGATGGAGCAGGTGTGAGGCCTAAGCTTCAGTGTGCCCAGGCCCATTGGTGACGCATTTCTGCAGCCATCAGCCACTCGGGCTATTTATACGTCCCCACTGAAGACTTTGTGTCCTGGCCCCTGGCTCCTCCCTCCCTGTCCCATTCATCACCAAAACTTTATGGAATGCTTGCATCCACAGGATGCTGACTCATGGATCCATGCCAATCTGGTCTAAAAAGCTCTATAGACTATGGACATCTTGGGAC